GGTGATCTTTTTATTGAATTAAAGTTTAGGAATCTCAGCATGAGAACCGATTCATACTTTTTGTATAATGCATTTCTCATTCATAATTTATTTCTCATTTAGATAATATATTTTTATTACAGTTCATGAAAGTTACTTGATTTAAGACTTGTATTTTGTATAACTGACTTAATGCAAAAGCAGATTTTTCCTAATTTTGTACCAATCTGTATTCACATTCCATTTAATTGACATCTTGTGATAGAATTTGTAGTTGAGTCGGTCTTTTTTTTCAGTCTGATTAAATGCACTTGGTATTATCTGCTTATTTAATTTACGGACCTTATTTTGAGGAGCGATTAATAATATTTGAAGAGAGTTTTTTTATTCTTTGATACTCTGATAGCCAGTTTTGCATTTGTATTTTTTAGCTTTCAAATAGAAATGAAGGTAAAGTTTTATTGATTCGTTTTTCCGAACACAATGCGGAGTGAGTTTTAATATGCATTTCCATTTAATTAATGGCTTATTTTTTGTAGTCGGAAAAAACGCGCTTGGTTTTTTCGAGTGATTTGCTTATTAAATTTACGGATCTTGTTGTTGAGGGATATTTATTCATTGATATAGGAAAATTTATTTTTTCATGACAGACATCGTAAAAAATTATAGTTGTGAAAGGTACTTAAATGTAGACTTTTATTTAATATCAATACTTTTATTTAATAACCATCAAAATGCGAAAACAGATATTTTTTTAAGAATTTTATATGAATCTGTATCCTCATACTATTTATTAGACATCGTGTGGTAAGTTGTAATTTAGTCAGTCTTTTTTTTTTCTTTTTGCGAGAAAGAGCGCTTGGCTTTGTAGGGTGATCTGTTTACGGATACTCCTTTTTATTCGGTGATATAACGATAATAAATTTTTTTATGACAGATGTATAGTTTATGAAAGGTACTTGTATTGAAAACTTGTCGTATAACTTTCAGAAAATTGAAGCAGATTTCTTATTATTTTGTACTAATGTGCATTTACATTCCATTTACTAGAAATCTTGTGGTGCTAATGTGGTAGTTAAATCAGCCTTTGATTTTTTTAAACCATATTATTTATGTGATCTGAGAGAAGGAGTTCTGTGATCGGGTGATTGTTTTGTAGGGTGATCTGCTCATTCAATTTACGAATCTTTTCATTAGAGCTGATTCACACTCGTGAGAGAGAAGTTTACTTTTTTCTATTCCTATGTAAATTGATAACGTCTTTAGTATTAAAGATTTAAATTACTTCGTAAAAGGTTTAAATTAAAAAAAGGTAAATTTTATTGATTTTGCAAAAATTTAAGTTCAAAGTTTTCAACTAAACATTTTGTCATTCAAAGTTAAAATTGCACTCCAAGTTTTGGAACGGCAGTTTTATAGGGGATTTACGGATTTCCTCATTGGAACTAATACATGCTATTTAGAGAGATTTTTTTTAAATCTATGATAAAGAAAATGACGTATTTCTTGCGATAAATGTATTGTAAATTTATCATACTGGTAAACTTACTTGTTAATTCACAATTTGTGAGAAAAAAAGTGTAATTTTTCTTAGTTTTACACATGAAACTCATTTCTTAAACATCGAGTGGTGAAGAATGGAACTATTTTATTTCAATAAAATTAATTGGAAATAAATTTATTTTAATGCATGTCCTACTAGAGTAAATCATGTTTTTATTGGAAATATTGTTATACATCAAATTTATTCTACCGACACCATATTATCATGATATTATACTGTCTCCCATATAAGAAAACAATATTTTAGACGATATTTTAGTCATACTTCTCTTTACAGTATTTCTTTATGTTATCAAATAATTGTAAGTAGCAAATCTCAACGAAGGGTGCTAATTGCAAATATTTGTGTGTTTTTAAGATGGTTTGAGGTTCGAAATACATTATAAACAAGCAACCCATAATTAAATATGGAAAAGCAGCACTTGTCTTTTGGAATCAAGTCAAAATGCAAGGAATGCAAACGCTCTGACGTGAATAAGTAATAAAAATGCGAATAAGTAATAAGTGCACGCGCGAATAAGTAATAAAAGCACGGCGCGATTTAATTCCTATTATCAACATTAAGATTAGAGGAAAGATGGTTATAGTTTAAAAAAAATTCTTAAAAGTGAAATAAAAACAACCAGTTAACTTGTCTGAATGATAAAAATTTTAAGTACTGGTGTTAATAAACCTTTCGTAATGGTAACATTATTTATAACCTATCAGGAGAGCAATGGTAGAATTATTAAGAGTAACAAAAAGCATTTCCATTCTTCATAAAATAATATGCATAAAGTATAATATGTAATCATCATAAAATAATATATTCCTTTTGATAGTTGCTACTATCTTTAATTGTTCATAAATTTGAGAAACAAATGCAACAAAGCGAAATCCTAGCTGATTTTGTTTTTTGGCTATTTTGTGTAATATATTTATTCTTTTCTTCAATTCTCCAAAAACTGACAAATTATGCTTCCTTAAATAATACAAAATTGTTTATATTAACCTCATTAATCATTTCATCCATTTTTTAAGTCATCAATGGCCTAAATTACTTCAGATTTCTTCATTAATCTGAGAAAAAACTTTTATACAAGATGTGAAATTTGGTATAGAATTATAAATTGACAACAATGCATTCAAAAACTCAAGAAATATGTTAATTTCTATTTCTTTCTTCGCTGTATTTGATGAGATGATCTGTTAGGCCGTGAGAAAAAACCTAAATACTTATGTGAACCTGTTTATTTATGAATTCATCCGATTTCTTTCTTATCATAACATGTGAACAAATTTTTGTTACTAGTATCTTATTATGCCCGATAGTCCTTGACAATGAATTTGCAAAATTTTTAAACTGATTTTTTAATTTTATTTAAAAACGTTGTGATTTTTGCAGCAGCAGCAGCCCTTTCAAATGTTTAAATGCAATTTTTTAACGCTTGAGAAAAAGAGTTGCTTTTTGTATTTTTTGTTATTTATTTCGCTAGAATACGTTTACAATGAGACTGCGCAAAAAATGTGAAACAAATGTGAACGATAAATTAAGAAAATTTTCTGGGATTCACGTAATGTATTTATACGCTTGATAAAAATCTTTTACAATATGTTTGATTTGTTAAAAATAACAAAAAAATGTTGAGACTAAATAATAGTTAAAAATAAATAAATTTAAAAAAAAAAGATTTTTCTCTTGATCAGATGCTTTTAACCATTTAACTTTTTAAAGAACAAAATCTTTCTTAGCCAGATACAAGGATCTCAGAAGATTTAAAAATATTTTTATAATAAAAGTATATTTAATTTTTCATGCTTTTCCTTAAGTTTCGAAAAAAAATTTTTTTTAATTTTTAAAACTTATTTACTATATTTATTATTCCACTTGTATTTAATATTGTTAATATTTACTACTTTTGGGAATTTGGTTAAATATATTCCTTTGTTTCGCGAACTATAAAATAAGACAAGCACAAATATGTTGTTCTCTTCAACCAAAATTAAATAATTGCATTTAATTCTTATCAAAGCCAGCACTGTACACTGTCATAAATTTCTCGGAAAAAATCGATAAGTAATAATTTATTTAACTCTTTGTTTACCACATTAACAAAGCAGTCAAATAATTATAATAACAAATATTACAACTGTTGACTGTTCGAAAAACCATTTATTAACTGCTCTCACTTAATACAGTTAAACAACGAGACTTTTATCGCATCAACTAGGCTCGCCTAATGAAGCCACTTAGTTTCTTGCATCTGCGTACATATTAAAGCGGACAGGGCTAATCTGTCAATCTCATGACCAACAAAGTAGAGGTTCGAGTCCTAGCATTGACATCACAATATTTCCTCCATTCTTTTCAACACATAAAGAGTTTCCAGTGTCCTGCACTACCCAATTTAAGAGCCTGAAATATTAAAATATGGTACTTTTATTTACTCATTTATGGTAGCGCCATGCTCAGTTAAACTTTTTTTTTAACTTTTGGAACCATGTTAGTAGTAAATGGTTATGAAAACCACATGGTTTTGTATTTATAGTTTTTTAACCATATTAGCTGTAAAAGGTATCGAAACCATAAAGGTAAAAAATGTTCTTTACCGCTAATTTTACGGTTGATTGGATGGACAGACTGCTGCCGGTTGTTTTACAGTAATTTTAGAATGAAAATCCTAACAGTGGATAAACCCATTTAATACAAATTTTTTTGACAGTAAAAATCATCTTATAACCTAACATTAGTTTAACATGCATCCAAAAGCTTTACACACCTAAAGTTTTAAATACACTGAATAGTTTTAAAGCTTGTAATAAAAATAAATAAAGGTTATTTAAAAAATAAGTAAATTCTTAAAATGTATTTATCGATAAACGTTTATGTAAACTCAGTTACGCGGATTGGCGTTATCGGTCGAATCAAATTTTCCTTTTCTTTTGAATTAGACATCGCATCCCGTGATTGCGTACTGTTACTATGTTTTTCAATACCTTCGTTACTACTGTTTGTAAAAGCTTACAGTTGCAATTTTTCCTTGATTATTTTTTACAATAAAGATCCAAATTCTGCCAAGTAAGATGTTTTGTTACCGATATACAAACAACTGCTGTTTTTTAATGCCGGATGTATTTATCCAAATTTAAATATTTGAAAAAAGAGTTAGAACAATTCTGCGGAAATTGTTTCAAAATCACAGTCTTCCATTATCTGCAACTGTTAAAAAATTTACTGTTCAACTTCGGCTCAATCAATCAACAACAATCAAAAAAATTATCAAAATGGTATTTTTGGAGCGTTTTCATAGATAAAAAAATTTCACTTACAATAAGAATAAACAATCGCATCATATAAATATTATGTATAGCCATAAATTACTTTATGTAAACTTTATAACTTCCACTTATATGTAAATAAAATGCATGTTAAGTCGGGTTTTTCGACAAAAAATAACACATATGTATGCTTTTTTCAGGCAATCATTATGTCAAACAAATACCATTGCTTGATTGTTGCGTTAGCAGTATTCTCTTGCCAAGTATTCTTACCGGTCCATTCTTACAAACACCAACAGAACAATGATGGTCTAGCAGTGCTTTTGGCTGCCGGATTGCTCGCCAAGATCCTGCGCCATAAGCATGAAGAGCACCATGTACACATCCCAGTACCAGTACACCATCATGAAGATCATCATGAACATCATGAACATCACGGACATCATGGTTCTGGATCTGCAAGGATTCCAATGCAACACCCAGCAGGAGTACAAGTACCAATGCAACACCCAGCTGGAGTACCAGTACATGCAGCAGCATTGCCTATGCAGCATGTATATGGTGGTGCCATGGTTGGAGTACCATCTCATGCAATCATCCGACGTATCATATACACAGCACCACAACCGCATATGCAACATGCTGCTCCCAATCCACATGCAATGCCATATTAGAACTTGGTAAATCGAATTTTCATTTGCAGCAACTGCCATTATTTCACGATCACTTTACATTCAGAATTGCATAATTGACTGTTCATGATCTTTTGTTTAGCTTACTAATTTTGCTTGTTTTTTAAAAATTTCATATTTGATTTGAACATATTCTCAGCAAATTTAAATTTAAATTTTATATTGCTATTGCAGTTTTTACAGTGAGTATTTGTACATAACACTTAACTAACTCAACACTGGATTATAAATTTTGGAAAACCATCAGAATGCTTTTTAGCATGCTGCATTTTTATTCTGTAAATAATTTATTTTGAAACATTCAAGCTGTGATTCTGTAAATTTCGCTAGTCAAAATAGTTATTATTAATGCTGAATTTCAAACAATTTATTTCAGCAAACATTTACGATGCAATATGAGTTTGTTATTATTTATTGATATAATAAATATTTTATTGTGTATGTATATGAAGTGTTCTTTATTTAAAAAAAAGTATTAAAATGCTAAAATGCAAAACTACAACAGTGAAATTGTGACTAATGACTAAATGATAGTTAAAGTCACAATCGAAGTTTATATTTACTATTTTTACGATGCATAACAAAGCTCCAAGACGCTATTTATTCGAATAAAATATAGAAGTTATGGAGGTCATTTGAAGAATTATTTAAATTAATATTATATAAAAATTTATTTATAGAGAACAGTTAAAAGGAACGTTATTATAAAGTAAGCCTTAAGGCAATGCTTTATGGTTAAATAGTTCCAGGAATGATTCATGAATAAAAAAGTGCTTAGGAATAAAAAAGCGTGTTATACACACTTTTTTAACACAAACAATAGTTTTACAGTAGAATTTTTTATGGTCGAGACTGAATTCTTTGCGATCTTATTGAAATAATTAAGTAATTCTAACAATGTGTATTGTTATATTAATCATTGTTCAAAAAAGTAATATAGAATTTTAAGAAAAACATTTAAATAAAAAATGTATAAAATTTACAAAAAAAGCGTTGCATAATTTTAACTTTATATTGTTATGTTAAGCATTATTCAAAAAAACTAATTAATATAAAACTCAAGGGTAAAAATGCATTTCAAAGTGCAATAATGCAAGTACTTCATAATAATTTCCCGTTTCCAAGTGTTATAATTGCTACGCAGTAAAACTCTAAATGAAATGCAAAATTAAACACCCGAAATAAGAATGAAAATGGAAACAGGTCTAACATTTTTTCAATATATAGAAATATGGTAGCAAATAAATTTTTGATTGTAATAACCAGTTTAAAAATAAATTAATCAAAGGTAAAATCATTGTTAACAATTTATGCAATGTTATAAAATTCGCGTTCAAAATGGTTAAATAACAATTTATTTAGAAGTTATTTTACCATATTCAAACAAAAAAGTTCAATAACCATAAAAAAAAGTTGGTATTCAAGCTATTAACAATGAGAAAAACTGTTTATTAATTGCGTTCAAATAATATGGTTGAACAACTAGAATTGTATCGCATCAACTAGGTCTACCTAATGAAGTCATTTAGTTCCTAGCAGCTGAGAACATTTTATAGCCGACCGGGCTAATCTGTCAATCTCATAACCGACACCTAAATATTTCCTCCATTCCCTTCAACACATTCCCTTCAACAAGTTCTCTCCAACACAATCCCTTCAACATTCCCAATTTTTGACCCTGGACTGTTAGAATATGATTCTATCATTCAGCTATAGACGGCAGCACCATATCTCCAATGCCCATTACACAACGAAAAGCGTAACACAAATGTCCTGCTAAATTTCATTTTTAAGGTTTTTAAACCATACTAGTCGTAAATGGTTAAAAAAAACTTTGTTTTGTATTCATGTTTTTTAACCCTACTAGTTGTAAGTGTTTAAATCAGAACCCTCTTAAAGTATAACCAGCATAATTTCTAATACAATTACAGTAGGGACAAATCAAATAAACTTAATTCATAAAAAAAGAAAGTTGGCAGCTAAATTAAATAAACCTATCGATTGTATGCTAAGAAAAAAAGTATGTTCAAAACTATATGGTAAAATTTACCACGTACATGGCTCTCTGGGAACACCAAAGACCTCTGTAATTTATCCGAAGGGTCTTGGTAATGATTTTGATAAAATTAATAATAAAATGTGGTTTTATAATATGTGATAATTTTATGCATGTAATTGTGATAAATGTGGTAATTTTATCATGAGAACTTAGAGCATGGCATAAAAACCATTTATTCGGTAAAATTTACTTATCCGCTATGCATTTTTTACTTAATATGTGATAATAAGAGCTTTAATTTTGAAAAAAAATGCTTGTAAACCATTACAAAATGAATGGTTTAAATACCTTATATGTTTTTATGCATTTATAATCAGAATCATAGATTTAGTTGTTTAAATGGATTTAGAGAAAATAGTTTCGGCAGTACTAAAGGCGTCTTTACAGTAATTAATTGATCTGTACATAAAAGTAAATTATTTACAATATGTTAAAAACTCTTGAATTAATATTGCTGACATATATTGTAGAAATAATTTATGCTTAGTATTCCGTGATGCTCACTCTAAATATACATTTTTAAAATTCTTCTCTAAATTAAAGTGAAGAAGTATATGCAATAGGAGTCGCATATTCATATTTAAGTCAGGAAAAAACTTTATTGAAATCTAATAAATTAATAACTGAGAAACTTGCTAGAATTTTTAACAATATCCTTTCCAGAAAATGCAAATTAATCAGATATATTTAGATGTGTATACTTTAAATGTAATGCAACATATTAAAACATTTAATAAAAATTTACAATTTTCAAAAAAAAAAATAAAATTATTGGTATTTTTAATTGTTATTATACATAAGGAAACAAAGCGAATTATAATAGGAAAATAAAGTTAAGTTTTCAATTCAGCTTACATATTTTCATCGTTTTATAAACAAAGAAGTAACCATCAATATAACTTTAATAAAATCTAAACTACTTAGTCATTTTACCTCTTTTAAAGAAAAAAAAACCTAACTAACTATTCCTTGTTATTTAAATAGCATACTTTTCCGAGAAAACGTACGCAGTCAGACGTAAAAAAAATATGTTGTTTGTTTTAAACTTTTTTCCGCGAGTAGTTAAACAACTTTTCCTCGCATAGCCAGAAATAACACTCACATATCGTGTCCATTCATCGAATGCATTGAAATGACATATTTGGTTCATCTTTGCTACATTATCATTTATTGACGTAAGCACGAAAATAATATGCCAAAGAAATATAATATTCTTTCGTACAAAAATTGTAATAAATAATACATTTGTAATCAAAACATGCAATATTCATTTTAAAAAGAAATTTTAAAAATTCGAGTACAATACTTTTTTGAATTTCTTAAAATGCATATCTTCTCAAAAAGCTAAGCCTCCTCCAATAAAGAAACTGAAAATTATTTTCTGTCTTGGCACAAAACAAAATTTTAAGTTTTAAATCGTATTGACATAACATCCAGAAAATTTCTGCATTCTAAATGGTTGGAAAGTGGCATATATTCTCAATTGACAATAAATTGCTATTGGTGACAGATTGTGCTAGTAACTACTTGAAAATTATTAAAACTTGTATTGTCTTCAAGCACTGAGCTTGAACCTCGGCGACTCAGTAAATAGAGCTCTCGCCTCCCAATGAGGTGATTCAGGTTCGAACCCTAGCGATGGCTGGTTGATACAAATTCGACTTCCGGCTCACACCAACCACAGTGCTGTCATATAATATCCTCAGTGGTAAATGGATCATGGGTAAGAGTCCCTTTACTGACAGGCTTACTATGGTATTTTTTCACGGCTTTCCTCCCCAAGTTTTTCCCCTTAATTTGCAATGTGAAGAAACGAATTAAATTTTTTTTAAAGTAGAAACTGAAAAAAAAAATAAACAAATTCTCATATTTTTAAATTTTGACATATTTTTACACCCCTAAACACGTAAGAATTATTCAAACAAAACAATTTTCTACAAGATCTATTTAAATCATTTTCCAATTAAAGTAAAGGAATAAACTACGCTATTTCCAAGGTGAGACTTTTACACGGAACAGTTCTTTAATATTATTTCCAGTCAGGTAATTTACCAGTTCCTGAAATTTCTACGAGATAAAACCACTCAATATACAGAAGTAATGCCTTGTCTATATAAAAATGATTTATATAATACTAAGGTATCGTTCTATGAAGAAGAATAAAAATGAATTTGAAAAATATATTTGATAATTGTCATGGTCATAGAAAATGTTTTCCAAATAAAATAATAAAATTAAATTCTTGAGTTGAAATTTGGAAATTGTTTTAGCCACAACTTGAATCACAAATATCAATTTTAGAGTTAATATTGTAAGAAGAATTTTTTTTTTAATTTTTAAAATTGAACAAGATTAAAAATACTAATAATTCTTTCCGAATATTTATAATTATTATTTTGTAGCTAGATCCTACAGTTTTAGAGTTCAATTTACTAAAAGCTACAGATTCGGCTTTTGCTACTAGGAGCTTAGATTAATATTTAATTAAGTGTAGGATCAAATTCTTCGAGCCGTGTTGACTTTATGGGACAGAGTGCTCGTCCCCCGATGAGGTGACCCAGATTCAAACCCTTATGGTAGCTGGTTGGTGCGAATTCTGCTCCTGGTTCACACTGACGACAGTGCTGACGCAAAATATCCCCTTTGGTAGATAATTCATGGGTTAGGATTCCCTTGCCTTCGGGCAAACCATACGAGGTTTTCGAGGATTTCCTCTCCAATTTATTTAAATGAGAAATTGTTCCATCAAAAGTCCTCCACAAAGGTTGGTTTGTCTCACTGCTTGATTCAGGAGTCCCCTCGTCTTCTAGGTTAGGTTCAAAATTACAAGATTACAGGGCAAACACTGATAGTCGCAAACTCAGAATTGAGCTGTTTAACACCGGTTATAAAATGAAATAATTAAATGCACTGGAAGATTCTTCTTCTTTTCATTGTTTTAAATATAAATAATGAAACTTTATTAAAAACAGGCCTTAAAGACATGTATGGGAACATTTTTCAAAACTACGTTTTGTACGTAATTGAATAAGAATATTTAAGAGCTACAAGTTAAGGGAGGAGCTTCAAAATTCGGATCGAAATAAGTATGAAAATTATTGAGACACTCTGAATATTCTATACCAATATGCTGATAGATTGTCTAGATTAATTGGAATGAAATTGAAGAAAATCATCAGTCATTAATTTTTTGGAATCTCTTCTGTCAGCTAATTTTAATATTTTTCAAACTGTGTAGGAAAGACTTAAAGTATATATATGTTATGTTACTGTGAATGACCGAAATTGGTGGTTTTTGACTTCCTCCGGTGAATGTTGACAATCACATAGTCGCTTTGGTAAATGTCCGAAATAAATACTACAGGTCTAGGTAAGTGCCACTGCCC